TTAAGGTACACCAGATGTGTCTTCCCTTCTCTGCAGCGGTCCAACAGCAAGTCTGAGATAAAGCAGTAAAGCAGCTTGCCTAAAATGATGTGTGGAGGAGTTCTAGGTCTTAAATGCACCCCTGAAGTTCCCCTATCCCTGTCCTGTGCTCAGAGACCATCAGACCACTCAATGATTCCCGCTGTGACCTCTACGGCTAGAATTGGCTAATGCAGGAACAAAACTAGCACATTTCAAACGTTTATATCATTGTCCAAAGTGTGAGACAATATAAGCACTAAGACAACAAAAATACAGGCTTTCATGAGTTTACAGGGGAAGCATGAGGGAAAACCACATTTTATCCAGCACACAACCCAAAAGAAAAACTGATGATTTTGAACAGTAGAAAGCTATCTCAGCCAGGAAATCTAAACCTGCAAACTGCTTTGTGTAGGTGGTAATTTTAGGGGAAAAAAGGCTCAATTTTGTTCCTGTACTAAAGAATCTATGATTGGTGACCCACTGCATCCTTCTGTTGGTCAGTTCAGTCTGGTGCTGGCGCTGCTCGTTAGTCTCGCTGCCCCGCTGGATCACCGAGGGCTCAGGGGATGCTGCTGCCGCACTCGTGCACGGAGCCGAGCGACGGGCTTCCAGGTGAGCCAGAAATCACACGCTCGCTTGAGTCAAACGCCGAGCCAGGTCCACTGGCAAATCCCAGTAACGTACACAGACTTAAGAGACCAAAGAGCTGGGTTGAGGAGCAGAATTCCAATTAGCCACTAACTGATTAGAGCAAGCAGCCCTCCGTCTCTCATTCAGCCTGTACGGATCAGTCTTCAGCTCCTCCCACACTTGTGCAGCCTCCGTGTATCGAGCAGCCCAGTGGCACTTGTCGATCACAACGACCTGCACCCAGCCCTTAGCCCAAAGGCTGCAGAATGAGCTTAAAGATTAGCGGTTTGGGGTGGGAGCAGCGTTACCCAGACATTCTGGCACAAGCTGAAAATAACAAGTAGGGATTAGGATCTATTGAGCTTTTCCCTGAACTCCAAGAATGGTACCGTAGAAAACTGAAGGCTTTGTCAAATTGCGGGTCGTTCCTTCCTGTACTGTTTTTAGTAAAAGAACTTCCTTTCTCGGTAACGTAAAAGATTGCAAAATAAAAATCTGTCGTTCTCTTCCCCCTCCCGAAAATGGAACTCAAACCCCGAAACGATCAAGTATTGGGGAAGTCTGGCTGTATCCCTTTGAATTTCCCCCACATATCGCTTAAAGCACCTAGCTTCAGAAAGGGAAATATATTTTAAAGTGCATTTACCACAGCAATAGTACCAGCACTAAAAGCTTTTCCCCTCATCCCTATTCTCTTCCTTCAATGTCTGGGACAGATGAAAATCTCCCCAGGATTCATCCGTGTTGTACCTTACAAGTCTCAGTGTATCCGCATCTATTTATGACACTGGAATAAAAGGAATCCAGCGCCATGCACCCTGCTCCGCACTAAACTCTACGCTGGAGCTTGTTTAGATTTATTGGGCATGAGGATCCAGCATGCGGTATATGTCTATTGGATACTGCATTTAAACAGCCGCTGTGAAATTAAATCCCAGTGTGCGTGGGGGTGAAGGAACAGGACTGGAGAGAAGGAACTTCCCCCTCTCCCCTGCTCCTCTTCCGTTCGCTCCAGCCACGCGGTTCAGTACTTGTTGATCCCAAAGATCCGGACTCCGTGAAACTGAGGCAGTTTGGGGATCAGGACGCTCATAAGGGAGATGGTGTTGATTATGAAGTGTATCCGGTCATACTTAGTGTAAAAGCTGGTTAGAAAATACCTGGAAAGGAGGGGAACAGAGAGAGAGGGAAGCTGAATGACAGCGCTCCACGTTGTCGTTTCCCAGGCCAGCGCGGGCAGCAGAAGCGGTGACGGGGACGGGCGCGTGAGGCAGCTCGGCTGCCCCGAAGTACTCACAGGACGATGGGCATGATGGTCAGGAACTTGCGCGACGCCGTGAACTGCACGCCGTAGTCCATCTGCTCCCAGTGCGTGAGCAGCCGAGCCTTCCCCTGGTCCGGGGTCTCGAAGGGAGTTCCTTTCACGGTGTGTAGGAAGATGTACATGCTCTGCGGCAAACAGAAACGCAGCGTGAGGCGCGCAGGGCCTTCCCTCACGCCCCTCGCCGCGCCGGGAGCAGCGTGCGGCTTCAGCAAGGCCAAGCACCGCTGTGGGAGCCTGCACCAGCGCCCGGGTCCGCTAGAGGGACGCCGCGTCGCTGCTGGAAGAGGCGCTGGCACCCGCGGTGGCTAAGGAAGAAGCGGCGAGCGTTCGGGAGGAAGGCCGCTAGCCGGGGCTAGCGCAGGCTTGGCTGGAACATGTGAGGCTGCTGGGTGTAAGCCAAGAAGGTGGTTGCGAGATTACAGGGCTCAGATCTCTGGGATCAGGAGATTAGCGTGGGCTCGCTCTACCGTGCAACAGCAACGCTAACTGCTTTCTAAAACAGCGCTGGCAGAGCTGGAGGCAGCGAGGGTCTGGTACCGCTCTGATTACGAGTTAACCTCTTGACGTGGAACACAAGTCACAGATAAACAGCAAGTGCCTGGCTACATCACATCTCTCAAGCAAAGCCACGGCTGGCCTTTCAACTCCTTTCTGTTCCCCGGACTGAATGGTTCAAGGTGCCAGAGAAGGGGAAGGGGCTGGCTGAAGAGCAGGCAGCTTGTCAGCTGAGCCCCCAGCGGCTCCAGCTGGTGGTCTTGTGGGTTTGGTCTTTTTCCTGCTAGAGCCATCAATAACATGAGTATGAGGGTCCCTATAAAGGTGTCATTTTTGTCTCTGCAATATTCTCGGCCTCAGATGTTATTTAAAATAAAGGATACAAACTCGATCGCTGCATCTCTGAAGTATTTTGCCCACTATGGCTGAAGGCTCTGCTCCTCAGCCCTGGGACCCAAGCGTGCCGAGGCTGGCGCAGTGGGGTGGCGGAGGCGCAGAAGCGAGCAGTTGAACGCAGCAGCTTCTGGCGTCGCAGGGAGCCCAGGTGCCCCGCGTCCCCAGGGCACAGCGCTCTGACACCCCTTCCTTTGGGCACCTGCTCCTTAGAAGGGGGGAACCTGTTCCAGGACTAATCTTTTCCTCTAAGCAGAACAAAGTTTGCAGTTTAATCTTGTTTTTCTTTCTTTTTTTACCTCTGAGGCCAGTTCAGATTGTATCAACCCACATGAAAGCTGCCACACCACCTCCTGTGGCCCCTCACGCTATTGCTCTGGTAAGGGGGATGTGACAAAGGGACCTACCCTGCAGGCAAATGAATTCGGTGTCCCCTCTGAGCCACCTCACCAGATGTTTGCTGTCTCACCAGCACCTAGGCTGGATTTAAGTACATGACCTAGAGGCAAAGGTGCAGTCCGAGGGGTGGAGGTTGAGTAACTCACCCTGCATCTCTGGAATTACAGAGAAGGGAATTGTTTCAACAAGAATCTTACTAGCTTGCTCTCAAAAGAAGAACTGGTGCTGAGAGACGACCTCACCGTGCTCTGGGAAGTCAAGCCAGCCACGCTGTTCCCTTACCATGTTGTGAATGATGTTCGTAAGAGTCCAAACCACGGGGACGCTGAAGAAGGGGATGCTCAGGAGTACGACGTGCAGCAGGCCGATGCCAAGGATGTAGGACAACCAGATGCCCCGGCTGTTCATGACACGGGTGTTGGGATTCACCTCGCTGTGTGCGGTTCCCACGTTCATCTTGGCTCTTGTGTCCAACGGGCACCCCTGAAACTAAAGCAGAGCCGGGTCAGCGCTCGGGCGGCGGCAGCCCTCCACCTAAAGGACTCGGGTCGGCACAGCAGCGGTCGAGCACTGCCCTGCTGTTAAGTGAACCTGAAATCTGTTGTTTGCAATCAAAATCCCAAGTCAGCTCACTTCTCTGCACCTCATTTCCATCCGTAGAGCTGACGTTTCTGAGGGGAGGCTAAATCTGGGAGCGGCTGAGATTTGGGAATAACATGTGGGAAGCCTGTCTGTGCCAGAAGCTGCTTGTGATCTGCTGAAACCTTTTCCTGGAACCAAGACGTCAAGGCTCAATCCTGCGACTGCCTGACAAGGCTCAAACCAATACTTTAAGCGCTTTTTAAATCACCATCAGGGTGTAAATCATGGAAGCGCTCAGCACACGAAGCTTCTTCGATGCTTATGGGTTCAGCGTACCTTCAACTCGGAAAGGGAACACAAGTATTTGCAGAGCAAAGGCACGGCAGCTCTATATCAACACATCTCCTAATTAGCTCAACTAAATGAACAGGGTTCTGCACAGCTCTGGAGGCTTGCTGGTCTCCTGTCTGGCTTACGTGTTTTGCCTCCCAATTTAAGACTTACAGGGGGAAAAAAAAAAAGAACAAAAACATTCCCCCGCAGGGAAGGAATGAGATTCTTCTGGAGGAACACAAAAAGTTAACAGATAACAAGGCAAAGGGCATTGGGGGAGTATTTCAGTAGTGAGAGCTGCAGAGAAGACGGCTCTTCCCCTACCTGGAAAGAACAGCTGCTGCGTAGGAGGAACACAGAGAGATGTTTTTCTAAACAATACCGGGAAGACGAGGAAGCAAGACAGTGTCATCCGCTCAGAGCGTCTCTGGAGCGGTGCCCTACGGACGGCGCAGGTATCGGAGTGGCTTTTTGGATCGCTGCAGCAGCAGCAGGTACCAGTCAGCTTTCAGGCTTACTGGGAAGGTGAAAGCTCAGGTTTACCGGTTCCCAGGGACCACAGGAACAGCACAAATTAGAACCGCAGTAACACTGAGCATCTTTACACCGAGATCAGGGACGTTCTCGCGTAAAATCATCTTTGTCCGCGTCCCACGGACATGTGGTTTCATTAGACAGTATCGCCTGTCCCTCCTTGGACGGAGGACCCCAAGGCGAGGGCTGTTTCCTGATGTCCAGCCTCGTGTTTTTGCTGCTCTGGCTCCCACAGCTGGAAGACGGCATTGCTGTTCTCTCCAGCTCTCGGAGGCTTCGGTCTCAGGAGGCGAGCCCGAGCCAGATCTAACATTACGCTCTGCGTGTTGCCGCCAGCTGTTCCCAGCTCCCTCGCCGAGTGCCGGGCCTGGCTTGGCTCAGAAGCTGGCGCTGTCCCCTGCTCCTGCCCAGGGTCAGGACACAAAGCGAACGCTCGACTCCCGGGACGCTCGCTGTAACTTCCGAGCCTCTTCCAGCTGCGCGGGCGGCTCCGGGGAGGCAAGGCTGCTGGGCGAGCTGAGCACCCACCTCTGCTACCCAGGGCTCGATCGGGGGGCTTATACCTGGAGAAGGTTTTGGTACCAGAAAAGAGGCTTGCAGGTCTGTGGAGTGCTTGTTTTCGTGTCGCCCGCCTCCTGGGACAAAGGATATTGGGCACTGGATATTGCAGAGAAAAGCCTGAAGCGCGCTCTGGAAGCAGGGCTTGGAGGCAGAGTTCAGCGCTCCAGTCCTAGTGGGGGGAGCAGCTCTGGTGCAATTCCTACGGGCTTTTGGAGGGAAATGTAGGGGACGTGGCGAAGCACAGCGTAAGCCAAAAAAAGTCATATTGTTGTGACAACAGAAAAAAAAAAAGCAAACAGCCCCGTGGAATGCGTCAACAGGAGTGCTGTTTGCCAGGCGCAGGGGATAATTCTCCTAGACGCAGGTAACGCCTCAGCTAGAAGAGTCCAGTTCTGGGAGAGCTGGAGGGAGTCCAGGGGAGAGCAGTGAGAAGGAGCAGAGGTGTGTAGGAAAAACATGGCCTGCAAGGACAGACTGAAGGAAACGGGTTTGTTTAGTCTCGAGAACACCGGAGAGAGGCGCGAGGAAGAGTCCTCACACACTTCAGAGCTGCACTGAGAAGGGAGACAAAGTGCAGTGGAGTTAACTGCACGAGCGGGACTGGGAGCAACTGGGTAGCACTGAAGGGCGGGCGTTGGAATGGATGGCCCACAAAAGCGATCGGTGGTATCACTGGAGGCTTTAAAATCAAGTTTCATGAGCAGTTAAAATAATTCAGATTCCTCTTTGGAACAGGGGGCTGACCAGGGTGGCCTCTTCAGGCCCCTCTTTTCCTGAAACGATGCCGTTACCCGAAGGCCGCCGAGGCCAGCAGACCTCCCCCGAGCCCTAGGGGTGCCCCTGCCCGCGCAGCAATCCAGGGGAATTTCCATCTGAGGACAACCACGACCGTAACTTTCAAAAAACTAACGAGCAACTTCGGACTTGGTCCCCTCTGCAAACGAGGGCAGTTGCAAACCTGCAGCTGGGTGGCACAGGGCCCAACCTGGAAGCCGTACGTGAAGCAATTCTCCTCCCTGTGCCTCGGTCTCCTCACGTGTAAAAGTGAGGATCGGGCGGGTGCAACGCTAGAACGTGCAGGGGGATAATTCGTTCTTGCAGGAGAGATGCAGCAATGTCAAGCATTCGGTCCTACGGTGAGGATAACGCTGCTTCTCCAGTTCTGTCCTTCCCCACCTTAAAAATATTTCATCTGCGAATCTTTCCTGTTCCTGGCGTTGGCAGCCCTTGCCCAAGCCCGGTGCTCCCTGTGGATCGATTGCACGCCCAGCTCCGCGCCGTGTTGCAAAAGCCTGGCTGAGGGAGCGTGAGCTCTCCAAGCTCCGATCCCTACCCCCGGCCCAGATCCCGTGTTTGCTTTCTGATTTTACACCGAGCACTTGTTCACCTGCAGGAAAAACAAGGCAAAAGGCAACAGCGGGAGGAACTCCAGCCCCCCCAGCAGCTGGCTGCCAAGTTCTGCTTCCCGACTCGTGCAGCAGTTTTCCAGGACAGAAAAGCTTTCAATGTTTCACGAGACCGAGTGTGAAGGTCGGGACTGTGCTGCCCTTGGACGGTGTCCATCCAAGGAGGGGAAAAGTCCTAACTGGGGTCAAACAGCAGGCTGGGATGGCGGGGCCGAGCCCTCCCTCCACCCAATCCTTCGTGTCCTGTTCCCAACCTCCCGCCCGCCGCCGCGCCAGCTCCCTGTCCGTGGCTCTGTCGGGCAAGACTCTTGTTCTGGGGCTCAGAGCAAACATCGGGGCTGCCAGGTCAGAACTGGCGTGACGGCATCTCCCCGCTTCTGAGGGAAGGGGGAACAAAACAGCACCGGCAGTTTCCCCACTCGCTTCATTGTCCATCAGCAGCTGGAGGACCCGCAGCCTCCAGCTCTGGCCGTGCCACCAGCACCCCAAGGTGCAGCCCCTTCCCCACCCTCCGCTCCCGTCCCCTCGCAGTTCAGCAGCACTCCAACCTCTTCCCGCAGCCCTTCCCCGGGGCAGGATCACACCCCAGGCCCGGCACCAATCCCGTGCAGGAACTTCATCTGGGCTGGCGGAGGGAAGGAGGCCCCAGGCGCTCATCGTGGCCGATGGTTCCCAGAATGCAAGTGATTACGATCCCAGGGAGCCGAGATCCCTATCTCTGGCAGCCGGAGCGATTGCCATCTCCCAGGCAAATAAATATTTTAAACCCTCCTTTGCCAGATGGCATCAGTGTTGGAACCAGAGCACCGAGTACATCAAAGACGTTGGCAAACGCGGTGGCGTTCAGAGGCAGCTGATAGGGGAGGGAGCCGAGTGAGAGGTTAGACCCAGACGGTGTCCCGGTCCAGCCCCGAGGGGCTGACAGGCTTTATCTGAGCCCCAGAGCTACCAGGTTCCTCCTCGGGAAGCCAGGAGGACACGGCACTGGTGGAGCTGTCAGGAGAGCAGCCAGCATGGTGGGACTGGATAATCTTGAAAGTTCTTTTCCAACCTCAACGATTCGACGAGCAGGAAGCCGGGGGCTGTGGAGCCGCGGTGCAGCTCCACGGGGACGCGGAGAAGTGTGAGCCGTCCCCAGTGGCAGTGGGACCAGGGGGGCTCTGCCTGCCCCCTGCGGCCTCTTCTGCTAAATTTAAAGTTTGGACGCGCAGGGAACGCTGCATGTTGGGTTCCTCCAGGCGCACGTGGGGGCTCGGGGGCCTGGATCCCGCTTCCCTCCACCCAAACACCTGGGAAGGACCCGGGGTGCTGGGGCAGGACCTGCTTCTGCCCGGGTTCCCCCCGGCCCGGCCGTGACTGCGGGGATCCCCCACGGGGACCCCCCCGGGCCCCGGAGCTTTCTGGTTCCATCTCAGGAACTGCTTT